AGCGAATCAGTGCGATTTAGCCGCTTCGCTCCAGACTGAAATTTGTTCCAGCTTAGTAAAACATTGCACCATCCTCGCGAAATCCACTGCACACAATCCGAAGGTGTAAAGCTACTTCCGACCGCGCGGCGAGTTTATAATTTCGCGATTTTTCTTGGGCATTTCGTGACCAGCATGACTTGCGTCTATTACCTTTCGATCTGGCTGCATATTTTCGGTGCGTTATCGCAGTGTCTTTCTAAATGGATTTGCGTCCGGCAATTCTTCGTAAGGCAAGAGCACTGCACGCACGAAGCTGTGCCACACTGCACAAAAGCAACCAAATTTATCGTTTGTTGGTCCGCGAGAACGATATCAAACCGCAGGCATACCAAAACTGGTGGAGCTACATTGCTGCTGATGGCGTCGGAAACCTACCTTCCCCTTCTTTTTTTGCCTTCATACTACTCACTCAAACTTACGTGGATTCCACTTTTGCCTAGCAAAGCCTGATCCAGCCAGAGTTTTCAAAATCTGTTCAGAGCCGCGCTAGTGCCAGCTGTCCTCTCCTATTTCTCAGGTGCTAAAATGGTCTTCTCCAAGCGACTGCTTTGGCTTCCCGTTAATCAGCAGCCATAGTTCCGAAATAGAATTAAAAATTTTGCTCTTATATCACGGCGATTAGACACAAAATTTGAGAGTTTTTAAAGGATTTTGTACAAAAATTAAATATTTGGAGTACATGCCGCATGTCGCTTTGTATTGTTATTATTTATTGTTCCGATATAAACCGACAAAGACAATTCAGCAAGATTTTATTTGCGGATATCAGAACTTCAGTGCTCCTCTGTCCAGTGTGATCCTTCTGTCCACTTCTCATCATGGTCACAAATAGGTGAAGGTACGCTAGTAGAAACTGGTTGCCTAAAAGTTCCGATCCAACAAGGTCTCAAAAGCAATAAAACCGGTGCCACACTAGAAAGTGACCGTGTAGCCATAAGCGTAAATATAAAAGACAATGCGTTAAATATAAATTAGTTTACATCTTTTTTGGCCCATGGGATAATTAATATTATACAGGAAAATTCGAACGACATCAGTTTTCCAGAAAAGCATAAAATTTATAACTTCGAAACAATAACACCTCAGTATCCCCGGACTGTTCTTTTGGCTACGGTGATGACAGAGAAACAAGTTGAAATGTACGTCTTTAGAAAATAATAAAATTGCTAATGTGTAAGACAATGCTGTTTTTTTTTGCTTAAATTTTTGCAAGTTAAATAAGCGGCCACATTACTGTAAGTGCTCATCTGGCTGTGTCTTTTCGGTTTTTTCTTCGGCGGTGGCTAATTCTTGTGGCGACGGTACCGGATCCATTTTTACTTCTTTCAGTTCATCTGACTTCTGTCCTAAAATGAAAGCAATTTGGAGAAAAATCAGGCACGTCTAGAAGTGCCAGATCAAACAAAAAACATCTAGGAGAAGTGGGAACGGCATGCAGATGGTCAAAATGCTAAATTCATCCGAAACAGGAGGGCCAGAAGCAAGCCGAACGTTCTGGTTTTAGAAAATATATTCTAAAAAAATGAAGGAACGAACTAGCGTCCACGTCATCAACCAGTGGCGTTTTTGTTCCTCGCTCTCGTTCGGCTCGCTGCACTGCTTGATAAACACCAGCATAATGCTTCATCACAGCCTGAGTATTGATAAAAAAGTCGGCACCTTTTTGGACAATAATTGAAATTATGTTGACATTATCCTGATCAATGCTTTTATAAAGGCACTTTTGCGAGTTTTTTTTTTT